CTGAAATGTTTTGAAATCACTTGTACCCTACCTGATCGAAAAAATCCAGTCTTTCACTCTGTCTGTGTCAGTTTGAGTCTTGTTAAATTTTTTAATCCATCTCCTAAACTGTCCTAAAATATAATTATTATTTATATTTATAAAAATATCTTTTTGTATGTTACAGGAATGGTTGGACCAAACATGCCACCTCCAGGACCTTCTGGTGTTCCTCCAGGCCTGCAGGGACAACCCACCAATGGACCACCTAAATCTTGGCCTGAAGGTCAGTAAATTGTGAAAATTATCCCGTCACTTCCAATTATCAATTCAAAATTTAGCCTTCATATTGCATTCTATAAACCTGACGAGACGGTTGTATCTCAGAGTCACATATTTACCATGTCTTTGTAATCCTAGGGCCCATGGTGAATGCTGCCGCCCCTGCAAGTGCACCACAGAAGCTGATACCTCCTCAGCCCACGGGACGCCCGTCTCCAGCACCACCTTCAGTTCCTCCCACTGCCTCGCCCGTCATGCCCCCTCAGACCCAATCTCCAGGACAACCGACGCAGCCGCCCATGATGCTTCATCAGAAACAGAACCGCATCACACCCATCCAGAAACCCCGGGGCCTGGACCCAGTGGAGATCCTCCAGGAGAGAGAGCACAGGTGAGATGAGGGAAAGAAATGGCAAATATTGATATTTTAGAGTAAACACACTCTTCAAATCCTGGAAACACAACCTTTTTAACTGGCTTCACCAACATTTGATGTTGTCGTTTCAATCTGTCAGGTTACAGGCTCGTATTTCTCATCGTATTCAGGAGCTGGAGAACCTTCCAGGCTCTCTGGCTGGAGACTTGAGGACCAAAGCCAATATTGAGCTCAAGGCACTTAGGCTCCTGAACTTTCAGAGACAGGTATGACTTGCATCTACTTATTACGGAGAATAGGTGACTTTCGTTTTTTTGCCGAGCTTACAAATTGCAATTCTGTTGTCATTGTCACCCAGTTCAAATTAATTCCACACAAGAGACATTTTCTTATATGATAAACGGATTAGTTTATTAAAAAGTGATACAATAACGAATTAGAATGCAGAATGCTCTGGAAGGTGGTTGTAATTGACTTCAGCCCAGTCCTGCTACATTTTAGTGGTTTTTGACCCATGTTGTCCATCTTAACACAGCTCCGCCAGGAGGTCGTAGTGTGCATGCGGCGTGACACGGCCCTAGAGACAGCGCTCAACGGCAAGGCCTACAAGCGCAGCAAGAGACAGTCCCTGCGTGAGGCTCGTATCACAGAGAAACTGGAGAAGCAGCAGAAGATCGAGCAGGAACGCAAGCGCCGTCAAAAACACCAGGTACTGGACCGTTCTGGCTGCTGCTTGTATGAAATCATGCAAAATGTGTGCTCCACCCCCTAAACCTGATTCAGAAATGACAAAAGATTGTTTGTGCCGGAACCGCCTGTTCTGTTTTTGCGTTTGTAGGAGTATCTCAACAGCATCCTGCAGCATGCAAAGGACTTCAAGGATTATCATCGCTCCATCACCGCAAAGATCCAGAAGGTGACCAAAGCCATAGCCACATACCACGCCAACACGGAGAGAGAGCAGAAGAAGGAGAATGAGCGTATTGAGAAGGAGAGAATGAGAAGGCTGATGGTGAGATGCACAGACTTGCTTTTTTTTTACCTGACATATAAATACAATTTAAACTGGTGGATCTGTTTTTCTGAACAAATGTCTAAAAAAACATCTTTTGTGTGTGTTTCTTTCAGGCTGAAGATGAAGAGGGTTACAGGAAGCTGATCGATCAGAAGAAGGACAAACGTCTGGCTTACTTGCTGCAGCAGACGGACGAGTATGTGGCCAACCTCACCGAGCTCGTCAGAGCTCATAAAGCTGTCCAGGCCCTCAAAGACAAGAAGAAGAAGAAGAAAAAGAAGGTGCTGAGATTTACTGGATTAGAAAGAGTTTCTGTAATGGAATTTAATTCGGGTTGTTCTCAGTTGTTTATCCAGTACTGTGCGAGATCTTTCTGTCTGCTTTTCTCCTCACAGAAGCCAGAGAATGCTGAGAGTGGAGCTCCTGCTCTGGGTCCAGATGGAGAGGTGAGATCTTTAAGGCTAAAGATGATCACCGGTAAACTGAAGCGCTCTTTTAACTTAACCAAACGCATTCTATATGAGATAAATCAGATATACATCAAATAAACACAATATTACAATGTACAATTGCACAAAAGGCTGCAAACGAATAGCGCGCATCTGAAGTGTCTCTGATGGAAATAATGCATTATTTATCGGCTTTAAGATATCGGCCAAATTTTCTTATCAGGCCGATAACAGAAAAAATGAGCATTTATCGGCCGATACCGATATGGTGGCCGATATATCGTGCATCCCTAATATTTGGCTATGTGTGACTTTTTGCAATTATCTTGGTTGGTCATTTGCGCTAATGAATCTCTTGTGGCAATTCATGCTTTAGTTTATTCAAAATTATTTTTCATTTTGGTAAGGGAGTTTTGAGTAAAAGTTAATTTAATTTCAGCAATTTTGGGTATATCCCATAACCAGTTGCAGATATGATCTTGAACATAGTGGAATTGTATTTGAGAATCGCTGTTCAGTGTATGCATAATCTAATTTTAGGCCTTCAACGTGAAATATTATGGAATCGTATAAAATTTATTATTTTCTAGTTCTCCTTTGCTTTAGACTTTTATAATACACATATGTAGAGATAAACTTGCCCAAAATTATGCTCAATTTGTGAGTGAGTTTTCTTTTGAGTCAGTTTTTTTTAAAAGAATTGGTTTAAATCTATTCATAACATGGTTTGAATTATTGATAAATGAGCCTGAAAAAGATTGTGTGTGTATGTGTATATATATATATATGTATGTATGTATGTGTGTGTGTGTGTATATATATACTGTATATAAAACAGTATGTATGTATATAAATATCTATACGTTTACATCAATATATAATTGAGAAATCAAGGGCCAAAAAAATGTATTAGCCAAAACACAGTGGCGATTAATCTAATACAGCTATGTTTTTGTGTTCTTCTGTAGCCTCTTGATGAGACCAGTCAAATGAGTGATTTACTGGTGAAGGTGATTCACGTAGACAGTGGGAAGATCCTCACCGGCATGGACGCTCCTAAAGCTGGACAACTGGATGCCTGGCTGGAGGTGAATCCAGGGTGAGTGAGACTCGCTTTAAGAATCTCATTTTTTCAAAATATGATATTTCTCAGTACTTGAATATCTACTACTGAAAAGGGTTGGAGTAGCCCATCATAAACACTAGAACAATAGAAAGTGTTTGAATGCTATTTTGTTCATTTTCTGTAGGTACGAGGTGGCCCCGCGGTCTGATAGTGAAGATAGCGGCTCGGAGGAGGAGGAAGTATGGCTGTTTTTCAGCTCTCATATCTGTATTTTTGTTCAGCATCTCGAGCAGCGCTCTGTGCTTTCTGCAAGGGCTTTACATGCACTTGAAGAGAAAACTCTCTTGTTTGTGCGTTCATGGCCATGATGTCAATGTAGGCCATCATCAGAATAAGATTAATGGCTAGTTTACCATGATATACTGCATTCATGACCTGTTACAGATAACAAATGTTTGTCTTTATGCACATTTTAAGATTCTGATACTTGTCAAATACAGTAGCCTAATATTAGAAAGCCATTTTTAACCATTCGTGATTTGATGTCACACACACATAAAGATGTAAAATGTATACTTAATGAACCATGAAGTTTATGCATGTTACATTTACCACTTTCTATTAATTATAATCACATTAGATATAATTATAAAATTGTCAAGTAGTTTTGTTTATACATTTCATAACTTCAGTTTGTTTAATTAATTTTAATGCGTAATTACAAATTATATAATTACAATAATAAAAAAAATATTAATGTACTTGTCTAGTAGTTTTACATGTATACATTTCATAACCTCTAATTCAAATTTTTTTTTTGTAATCACAAAAATAACTTTTAGAATTACCAAATTTGAGAAATCTATTATTATTGTGCTTGTCTGGTAGTTTTTTCTTTTATACATTTATTTCATAACCTCTATTTGTTTAATTTTACTTGGAATTATATAATTAAATTATTTTTTATTTGGTTGTCTGCATTTATACATTTCATAACTTCTATTGATTTAATGTATTGATAAAAAGAAATATTTTAATTAATTGAATAATATCTTTGCATTTTATTGTATTAATGTACTATTGTATTTTTTTTCTGTAAAGGATGATGAGGAGGAGCAGCCTCAGACCTCTCAATCTTCATCAGAGGAGAAGAAAATATTTCCAGATCCAGACAATGAGGATGTGTCTGAGGTGGACGTCCGTCACATCATTGAGTATGTTACTGAATTAGAGCTGTGCTTTTTACTACATTCCTGCTCTTTTTGGAATGCTATTCTGTTGTTATGGTGTTTGTAATAATATCCATGATGTCTTTCACAGGCATGCCAAGCAGGATGTTGACGATGAATACGGTAATGCCAGGTTCATTAGGGGCCTGCAGTCGTACTACGCCGTGGCTCACGCAGTCACAGAGAAGGTGGAGAGACAGTCAAGCCTGTTAATAAATGGACAGCTCAAACAGTACCAGGTACAGATGCACCTTACAGACTAAACAAATTGCAAATACACCTCAAAGTCTTTTGTGAACTGATCAGATTTGTTAAATGGCATGCTGAAGTTATTGCGTCTGTCCCGTCTGCAGATCAAAGGTCTGGAGTGGCTGGTGTCTCTGTATAACAATAACTTGAATGGCATTCTGGCTGATGAAATGGGTTTGGGAAAAACCATCCAGACCATTGCACTCATCACCTACCTCATGGAGTACAAACGCCTCAACGGACCCTTCCTCATAATCGTCCCCCTCTCGTGAGTCACTTTTCACGTTCTCTACACTAGAGCTGCATGAAACTGGAAAAACTGACATTGTGGTATTTTGCTTTCTGCGTTTTATACATTACAGTATGAAAAAAATACCAATATTTTTATTAGATGACATAAAAAGCTATATTTGAAAAGAATTAATCATTCCACAATGATTTTTGTTGGTGATTACAACTGCATTTTTTTTTGTGAATCATCCTTTTAGGGCTTAAACATTACAAGACCAATTCAGACCTATTTCAGCAACCATAAAGTAGACAGAAAAATTCCTACACAGGCCACATTTTTACTGTTTTTGACCCATTCAGTATGACCAATAAAAAAAATGTTTTGATTATTATTAAATAAAAATATTAAAATAAGCAATGTATTGTAACTCTACTACTATACTATAAAATTAAAAAAAAATCAAGTATATAAAAAATAGTACAACTGTAAAATTACAATACTATTTACATTTTCAACATTAAACCATCAAACTTTTATTTCAGCAGATTGTGTCAGGGTTCCCATGCTTCTTGAAAGTACTTGAATTTCAAACATATGGATTCAAGGCCTGGAAAGTGCGTGAAAACAAACATAGGTCCTTGAAAGTGCTTGAATTAAATTTGAAATATTTTGTTTATGGCCCCATTTCAAAAATTGTCCTGTATGTTCCGTCAAAGACAGAACGAAACTGCACTAATGATTGGGGGTGGAGAACGGGGTAGCGTGGAAAAAAAACTTAGCGTGTGTGTTGATGTGCAGTTTAGAGCCCTGTGTGGGACAGTTTTCTTAAGCCCGCTCCCGCTGAATTTCTGACCATTACCTCGCACTCCCGCAACGTGTGTGTCCCGCTCCCGCAAACATTCTAATATTGTATATAATTTTCGCATGTCAGGGAGCCACTATCAATATGCGGGGTATTGAAATCGCATTTAAATGAGCTCTCGCTGTTCACTCTCACTTTCGATTTCGCGACGCGCACTCTGTGTAAAGGGAGCACATCTTACAGTGCTTGCGTAATTATTAGGCACGTTGATATTCTGATCATTTTTTCCAAGCACATTTTACCAATTCCAAACCACATCAATCTTAATAACGCCTATTATTTTTGTATTTAATCATTTAGAAGTGATCTATAATTGTCCATGAAGGCTGGAAATGAAAAACTCCTTATTAAGGTGTGCAGAATTATTAGGCAGGTTTTCGTTTACGGATGAAATGAGCCAAAAAAGAGAATGAGCTCAAAAATGATTAAATCCCCATGAGAAAAACTAATGCAGTACAGAAATTTCAAAGTTAAAGGGTTAGTTCACCCAAAAATTACTCACCCCATTAGTTCACCCAAAAATTAGTTCACCCCCCCTCAAGGCATCCTAGGTGTATATGACTTTCTTGTTTCAGATGAATCCAATCGGAGTTATATAAAAAAATGTCTTTGATCTTCCAAGCTGTTTAATGGTAGTCAGCAGGTGTTGCGGTGCATCAGTCCAAAAGAAGTGAAATAAAGCGCATACATCCATAATAAAAAGTGCCTCACACGACTCTGGGGGGTGGACAAAGGCCTCCTGTAGCGAATCGATGCGTTTTTGTAAGAAAAATAACCATATTTAAAACGTAATAATCAATTTAATCTAGCTTGCGCTCACTAAAGTAAGGATACTTTGCTTCCTTTGCTCCTGTAAACAAACGTTGGTTTTCACGAGACTCACATGCGCAGCGCCGACCTCATATGTCATGCTCCGGAACTGCTTCTGTGTACAACTGTTGGCGCAAGCTAGATTAAAGTGATTATTACGTTTTGAATGTGGATATTTTTCTTACAAAAACTCATCGATTTGCTACAGGAGGCCTTTGTTCACCCCCCGGAGCCGTGTGAGGCACTTTTTATTATGAATGGATGCGCTTTATTTAACTTCTTTTGGACTGATGCACTGCAACACCCGCTGACTGCCATTAAACCGCTTGGAAGATCACAGACAATTTTTTAAATAACTCCAATTGGATTCGTCTGAAAGAAGAAAGTCATATATACACCTAGGATGCCTTGAGGGGGAGTAATTCATGAGCTAATTTTCATTTTTGGGTGAACTAACCCTTTAAGGCATGACCATTTGGTCAGCAAAATGCTCAGTGGGTCAGAAAAGACAGGTGGAGAAGAAAAGATGCATGTTAACTGCAAAAGAATTAAGAATTAATATGAAGAATTAAGTGTGAAACCATCAGGAACCTTTTAGTCTCCAGTGCCACTATTTTCCAGAACTTTAACCTTCCTGGAGTCTCCAGAATTACAAGGTGTCAGGTTCTCAGAGACTTTACTTGGGTAAAAAAATCCTAAAAAATGACCCCTACTTAATAAGAATAACATTCTGTATTGCTGTGAAATACATGAAGACTATTTTTCTATAGGCTTTATGGACTGATAAGTTAAGAGTGACTCTTGAAGGACCAGCTCCACATTAAGTTTAAGTAAGTTTTAGGAGCTCATTTTTGTTAGTCTCTGCAAGACAGACAAGACAGGATAGGAGATGGACTAAAAATGAACTCCCAAAACTTACTGCAACATGGAGCTAAGGAGAAAAATGTAGAACTTGAAAAACTGGAAAAACAGCTTAGTGAAAAGCGTTTACAGTTTAAAAGCAAATAGAAAGTCCTATTTTTATTTCCTTTCTTTATATTGTTTGCAGATTTGCACATGTACAAGGTTTAAAATGAAATATTTTCCAAAAATATTGACGTTTTGAACAGCTGCATGTTTGAGCAGCTGCATTCCTCTAGGTCAGCGGTTCCCAAACTGGGGTGCACTTTATATTGTTTGCAGATTTGCACATGTACAAGGTTTAAAATGACATATTTTCCAAAAATATTGACGTTTTGAACAGCTGCATGTTTGAGCAGCTGCATTCCTCTAGGTCAGCGGTTCCCAAACTGGGGTGCACGCACCCCTAGGGGTGCACAGACCGACCAGCAGGGGTGCACGAGAGAATGCTTTTGATGATCTGTGTGCTTTTTTTGAAAGGGCAAGTGAAAGAGAATTTTACTTGCCTGACCGGACAACTAATCTAATCTAATTAAAACATCGAATTAGGGAAGCACCAAAAGTTCGGCGAGAATGATTCTGATTTTATTACACTTGGTGTAAACGGCAATTCATAATGGATAATCAATAGTAACAAGGTCGAGGCAGTTGAGACTCACGTGAGACAATCTCATGGAGAAATCGAAACAAATGAACACAACTGCACACAGGAGAAACATACTGCGGTAAAAAAAAATTAGTTTTTATATTTATTACATAAAGCCTAGCCTAATTAATTACATGACACGACTAAGAGAGTGCAGTTTTCCCTGAAAATCAGTACGATTGTAAATTTGACATTGATTTTAAACAAGACTTGAAACGAGTAGTTAATATTAAGTGACTTAGGGCATATATTTTAGTACAATAATGTCAATATGACTGCAATTCATAATGGATAATCAATAGTAACAAGGTCGAGGCAGTTGAGACTCACGTGAGACAATCTCATGGAGAAATCGAAACAAATGAACACAACTGCACACAGAAGAAACATACTGCGGTAAAAAAAAATTTGTTTTTATATTTATTACATAAAGCCTAGCCTAATTAATTACATGACACGACTAAGAGAGTGCAGTTTTCCCTGAAAATCAGTACGATTGTAAATTTGACATTGATTTTAAACAAGACTTGAAACGAGTAGTTAATATTAAGTGACTTAGGGCATATATTTTAGTACAATAATGTCAATATGACTGTTTTTGCTGGATTTGTTTAACGAAAATAGTTCCAAACAAACTTAGCAGCAGAACTGTCGCGCATCTCTGAGCAACACACAGCGTCAGCGGTGTTTCGTTAGGCTACTGAATGATTCGCATTTTTGAATTAATAATTTGAGTCAATGATTCAGTGGTCTATTCATAAAGACAGGCGCTTGCTTCTTTCTTGAACGAATCGTTTGAATGCCTCAATGACTCACTCATTAAGACAGTCAACTTGCTGCCACCTGCTAGCGGGTTACTTTCAAATTTAAAAGTAACTTTTCATATTTGTAAATAAAAAAAACCTGATGTAAAACACCAAGCTCACAGCATTATTTATGCTGTTGTAATTTTGCAGTGTTAATGCATTCATGCTACATTTCAGCTTCATTAAATTGTCTGTGTAAATGCATCTAAATGCCACTTCAGCTGCTTCTGTTTCTCCAGCAGTGGAAAATTTGGTTTTGTTAATACT